CCAAATCTCTCATATTAATAAGCTTGCGTCTTATTTTAAATACCTAACTCGAAATCTAAATCTTAAAAAAAATAAACATTATTTTTGTTAGTAGTTATTTTTGTTTTAGTGCGTGTTAAATTTAGACGAAGCTTCTTTCCTTTACCTTTTTCTGAATATCATGTCTAAGCTAGCTTCTAGTACTCTTTTGAAACTAAAAATAATGGGTTTAATGATTTTTTGCTTGTGTAATTTTAAAAAATACTTTAAAGTATATAAATAAGTTACCCAGGCAATTGATTTACATACATAAGCCAATCAGACAAACTTCTGCCTATGAGGTTTAAATTTTCTTCGCTGAATTTAGAGTAGTTCTTTAGTAATATAATTTTCTTCGCTAGGTTTGGAGCAGTTCTCTGGTAATTTTTTAGCCAGATTTAGAGCAGTTCTCTAGTAATTTCTTTGCTGGATTTGGAGCAGTTCTTTGATAATGTAATTGTCTTCACTGGATTTGGAGTAGTTCTTTTGTCAGATTTGGAGCATTTCTTTGGTAATGTAATTTTCTTCACTAGGTTTGGAGAGTTTTCTGGTAATTTCTTTGCCAGATTTGAAGCAGTTCTCTGGTAATTTCTTCGCCAGATTTGAAGCAGTTTTCTAATAATTTCTTCACTGGATTTGAAGCAGTTCTCTGGTAATTTCTTCACCAGATTTGGAGCAGTTCTCTGGTAATTTTTTCACTGAATTTGGAGCAGTTCTCTAATAATTTCTTCGCCAGATTTGGAACAATTCTCTGGTAATTTCTTCGCTGGATTTGAAGGAGTTCTCTGGTAATTTCTTCTCCAGATTTGGAGCAGTTCGTTGGTAATTTCTTTGCTGAGTTTGGAGCAGTTCTTTGGTAATTTTTTCACCAGATTTGAAGCAGTTCTCTGGTAATTTCTTAGCTAGATTTGAAGCAGTTTTCTAATAATTTCTTCACCAGATTTGAAGCAGTTCTCTGGTAATTTCTTAGCTAGATTTGGAGCAGTTCTCTGGTAATTTTTTTGCCAGATTTGGAGCAGTTCTCTAATAATTTCTTCACCAGATTTGGAGCAGTTCTCTGGTAATTTCTTCGCAGGATTTGAAGCAGTTCTTTGGTAATTTCTTCACCAGATTTGGAGCAGTTTTCTAGTAATTTTCTTCGCTAGGTTTTGAGCAGTTCTCTAATAATTTTTTTTGCTGGGTTTTGAGCAGTTCTCTAATAATTTCTTTACCAAATTTGAAGCAGTTCTCTGGTAATTTTTTCACTAGATTTGAAGCAGTTCTTTGGTAATTTCTTCACTGGATTTAGAGCAGTTCTCTAGTAATTTTTTCACCAGATTTGAATCAGTTCTCCAGTAATTTCTTCGCCAGATTTGAAGCAGTTCTCTTCACCAGATTTGGAGCAGTTCTCTGGTAATTTCTTCACCGAATTTGGAGCAGTTCTTTGATAATGTAATTTTCTTTGCTAGGTTTTGAGCAGTTCTCTAATAATTTCTTCGCCAGATTTGGAGCAGTTCTCTAGTAATTTTTTTGCTGGATTTGGAGCAGTTCTCTGGTAATTTTTTCACCGAGTTTGAAGCAGTTCTCTAATAATTTCTTCACTGATATGGAGCAGTTTTCTGGTAATTTTCTTCACAAGTTTGAGTAGGTTTCTTAGACCCACTCTAATTTCTTATAAATTTTAATTACATATAGTTTCTTCAGCAGGTTTGGAGCAGTTATATGGTAATTTCCTTCACTGGGTTTGGAGTAAAATTTCTTCGCCTGTTTTGGAGCAGTTCTCTAAGAATTTTCTTCGCTAATGTAGAGCAGTTCTCTGGTAGGTTTCTTAGGAATTTTGATGCAGTTCTTTAATTTTCTTTGCTAGGATATGTACTAATATGAATTTGATCAGAATACGAATTTGGCTAGGACATGAATATAAATTTGATTGGGATACGAATTTGGCCAAAACATAAATATGAATTTGATTGGAATACGAATTTGGCCAGGACATAAATACGATTTTGATTGGAATACGAATTTGGTTAAAACACAAATTTGATTAGGATATGAATTTGGGTAGGATACAAATTTGGCTGCGACATGAATACGAATTTGATTGAGATACAAATTTGGCTAGGACATGAATGCGAATTTAATTAGGATACGAATTTGAATAGGACATGAATGCGAATTTAATTGGGATATGAATTTGGTTAGGATATGAATTAATTTGGATACGAATTTGGGTAGAATACGAATTTGGCTGAGACATGAATACAAATTTGATTAGGATATGAATTTGGCTGGGACATGAATATGAATTTGATTGTGATATGAATTTGGTTAGGATACATATTTAATTAGTATACGAATTTGGTTGGGATACGAATTTGATTGAGATACGAATTTGGTTAGAACATGAATATTCAATTAGCATATGAATTTGGTTGGGATACGAATTTGGTTGGGATATGAATTTGATTAGTATATGAATTTGGTTGGAACAAGAATTTGGTTGAACACGAATTTGAACTAGATATGAATTTGATTGGGATATAATGAATTTGATTGGTTAAAAAATGAATTTGATTAGGATTTATATGAATTTGGTAGGAAAATCCCATATATTAAATCATTTAATCTCACTATTAACTTCCACAAAGTACAAGCATATAGTAATAATATAAATAATGATAAAACAGATTATCTAGCTAAATACAGTCAGACCTCCCTAAATGCACGTCACTGGGACCAGCTCTGAAGCGTGCATTTAGAGGGGATTGCAATTATAGAATAGCCGTAGTAAAACTATAATCATGTGAATGCCTACTAGCAGTATAACGATAACTGTATGATACTCTTTAACAAATAGAAATATCGATTCAACGACAAGACATAATTGTTTACTTATTTGTTATTTAAGATATTTTCACATACTATATATACAATTTACAAAAAAAAAATTTTTACTAAGGCCCATAACATAAATTTTTCAAAAAATAACACTTTTAATTTATCTTTAAAAAATTAAAAAATTATATATAAAAATTTTTTTTTATTTTTTAAAAAAAGACCTTCCGGATAGTAAATTTGCCTAAAAATTTTTTCTTAGGTTTAATAAAATTTGACCCAGCCAGATTATGTGAACCAAAAAATCAACTTTGCTTAGCCTAAATAAATATGATCAATCCTTTATTTAACATATTTTTTAAATATAAGTGGATCGTTTAATTTAACTCTTTCATTTGTTTCCACTAATATCTTCAGCAAAAATAATAGCGAAGGCCTTTCACTTGAAATTTCCCTGTGGATTACTCCAAAGCTATAAATATCTGATCTCTTATCACGTCTATATCCTTTTTTAATAAGATGCTAAGGTTTAATAAATACTGGCGTTCCAAAAGTGGTTGAAGTTTTAGATCAGTTCAAGGTTAATTTCAAAAAAAAATATTGTAGATTACTCAACTAACCATGCTTGCACCAGTACATTATCTAGTTTTTTTTACAGGGTTAATCGGCAAGCTCAAAAAACGCTTCAAGATCTAATTACTTGAAAGATGTATTTCATAATTTTCTAATCGTTTTTTGCAAATTCGACAAAGCTTTATCATAGTTTGACCAGGTTGTATCATAAAGATCCTGTTGTAGAAGGTATTGTTCTAGCAAATATGTAGCATTCAGTACTTTATTATGAGTAACTTGACACATTTCTGTGCTATCATCATCCTCATCACTTATATTCTCTTCAGGTTCTGGGTTAATAGCTAGATTCACTATTTCATAATCGCTTAATGCTTCATGTATTTTCTTTTCTTCTGGATAGTCAATATATTCTTCAAGATTCATCACATTTCGAAGATGGAGCGCTTCGATATCTTCACGTAATTCTTTCATTAACTCGGCATCATCATTGTCAAGTACCTCATCATCGTCAATCGCTTCATCATCATCCGAATCAACTGGAAGGATTCCTGTATATACAGTAGGTTATAAAATTAATAGAATTTTGCATAATTTTATGCAATTTTACAACATATGGGCGGAAATTTTCAATTTCATGATTATTTAAATTGAAATGATGAGATTAAATAGAATCTAAGCCAATAAGATATGAAATATAGTGCGATTACTGAGATTAAAAGTGATGATTTGATCAGTGATCGTAAAATTGCTTATGAATCGCTTATGAATTGCTTATTAGTTTTTATATCCAATTTATGAGTAGTGCTCCGAACTGATTAGCTAGAATACCCAAAAACTAACCTGAACCAGATTAATTTTGGATCATTTGAGCTATGCTGTTTATGAGTATCACTGTGTTATCACCTAATTTTGCATTCCAACTAAAAATTTCTGCCTATATGAATAAGTTTTAGTAAATTAGATCTCATGTAATTTCAGTACTTTATATAACATAATGAAAGTTACACAAAATCCGATTTACTAAAGTTTATGTAAAATTACATGTATTTTAAGATAATAATTTTCATAACTTAACCAGTATGTCGAAAGCAATTAATCACCGTTTCTGATGATACTTCTTTCCATGCTTTGACTATAAACTTAATAGCATTAAGAACATTCAATTTTTTATCATTTCCAGATTCATATTGATCAAGTAACCATTTAATAAAGTAACTTTTGTAGCGACGCTTGAAAGACATAATGATACCAGCATTTAGAGGCTGAATACGAGATGTTGTGTTTGGTGGAAGAACGTGAACAGTTATATTTCGAAGATTTAAATTTTTATAAGAATAGCATTTTGCACCATCTATCAAAAGAAGTGTCTTGCGACCAGCCATCTTTAAATCAAATTCTTTAAGCCAATTTTGAAATAATACTGTCGTCATCCATGCATTAGCACTATTATCATATGTGACACCAAGTCTGTTGCATTTGATACCTTTGAAACAGCGTAGATTGTGATACTTTCTAATTACAAATGGTTTAAGTTTATCTGTTCTATCAACGTTAACACAAAATGCTACAGTTAATCGATCTTTATTTTTTTTTCTACCTTTAAGACTAGTTGTTGCCAATATCGTATCAGGTTCAAGGCTAAAAGAAGAATAAAAAAAAAAAAAAAAAATTAATGTTAAGTATTGAAATTTTAAAATTATTTATTTTTTACTAATAAAACAATCCCATTTCGTCCATATTGTAAACATCTTTTAACTCAAATTTAGCTAATAATTCTCTTAATTTAGGAATCGCAGTTGCAACGACATTATCATCTACAGATGCATCTTCACCATGTTGTATTATTTGGCTTATGCCATGTCTTTTTTTAAATTTATATAACCAACCATGTGAGAATTTAAGGCTATTATTAGGTATTTTTAACAATTTAGCAAAAGATTTTGCTTTTTCGATTAGAATGGCATCACTTAATATAATATGGTCTTGGTTTTGAAGAATCCACTCTAGTAATGAATTTTCAAGGTCCGGATACTGTACTGTCTTCTGCCTTTTTGCAGATAGATTATCTCCAATATTATCTTTATTTTTTATTAGACGCCTAATAGTAGAAGGATGAACTTCAAGGCCCATATTTTTTTTCACCCAATCAACGAGATCAACATTACTAATACTTGGATGTTTTTCTTTAAATTCAATAATTTTTTTTCTTTGTTGATTGCTAAGAGTAGTCTTTTCTTTACGCTTTGAAGAAGACATGTCACGGTTTACAATTTACAGGTCAAGTATATAATAATTATTTAAAAAAACTTATACGAGAAAGGACTTGTTTTAATCGAGAGCTTTATTTAATTTAATCACAACAATACCTTTTGTACGATCACATTTGGGAGTATCTTATATATGAATTGTTTATACTTTTTGTATTGTTTTTACATATCATTAAACTACTCACGTACTGCCAAATTTTATTTAGAATACTTAAACATAAAAAAAATAGTTCTAATACGTAAGCCAATTGATATTTATCCATTGAGTTTTACTATTAACTTATGCATATTTATTGTTTTTATCTTAGGTCAGAAGCAAATTTATTTTCATAGCTAGTGTTGTAGGTGAAACTATTTTTTAGTTTCACTCTATAAGTCCGAAACTAGTTTCATCCAATTTTAATATACAAAATTGGGTTTCGCCTACAATACTAATCATAGTAATTGAAACACTAATCAGATAGCAATGATTATATAAGCTTATTTAAATTGATTTGGTCTGCTATTTACTATTTGGATTGGTCTCTACCGTTATAGGGCTTCAGACCTTTTTGATCAAATGCTCTATTCGTAGTTGCGTAATATTATACATAATACGATTTGCTATAATTCTTGATCAAATTTTGTTTTAGCTTAAATGTAAATAGTGGATCAAATTGATCAAATATTGATTTTTAAATTTAAGCAATTGTCTCCGAAGCCCTATAACAGTACAGACCAACCTATTTGAAGTATCTTAAGAACTAACTTTATTGGGAAACAATAGCTATCTTGAAGACTACATGGGAAATGGTTAATACCAATTATGATAAGTATTGTTTAAGTTCTATCAGTAATTTAAATACCTTATCAATAAGACTATCTATGTTATACTCAACAATAATCTGCTCTTAATTATTGTGTGTATATATGTATGTGTGTGTGTGTGTATGTGTATGTATATATGTGTGTGTATGTGTATATAAGGAGTATTTTGTCTAATATGATTCACTACAAGGAGAAAAGAAAAGAGCCAGAATCTAGAAATTTAGCATATAGGAAAAGCTTGAAAGTTGTTAGAGTAACCAAAGTCGAATGACTATACTTCAGATATATTGCATCTGTATGTTTATCATTTGTTGAATAACAGAAAGAGAAAACTTGTAAACTGAGCAAATCTGGTAAAATAGAAAGTAGTGAATCGATTTAAAGTTTCTTTTTTGTTATTCATTTATGCAATCTACTATAATTGTAGAATAAAATCTTTTTGCAGACAATAAAAAAAAATTTTTGATTTTAAATTCATAATGAACCAGATTTTGGATCGGAGATAAAACTGAAAACTAATCTGTATTCATAAAAGTAAGATGAACAACCCTAGAATTCCCATAAAAAAGAGTTACGTAACTGAGTTCATATTTTTTCCACGATACGTATTAATATGGCATCGAAATTATGTTGTATGAATGGAAGTTAAATAGGTTTTAAAATTTCTTAATAATAAATTGAACTGAATAGAATCAAAATCTTAAGATTTTCCCAATCTACTTAAATTCCATACATTAATTCATTAATTACAACTATCAAATTATACTGTTCCCAACAAATGGCTTTATTTATACTAACCCAAGTTTTTTCAACGATTTGAACTTTCATAGATTAAACATACATTATTACTTCCGATCATTAATAATCACTATTCTATTTTAAGCTTCAGTTACGTAACTTTTTTATGGGAACATTAAGATATTAAGAAAACGGGTATAAAATAATGTAAATACCTCTTCTATGATCATCTTAGCAACTCTTTGAACATCATCAAATTTTGACACATCACATTCATAATATATAATGTTGTCTAAACAATATACAAAAATTAATATTCTAAACTTATTTTAATATCAAAATAAATAAATAAATAAATAAATATATACCATTTTCAACTTCTGGAGGTTTAATATCTAATATAACAACTGTCACATTTCTAACAGCAAGCGTGTCAGCTAATAAACCCCCAAGGCCTCCTGAACCTATTACATTCATCAATAAAGAAATTGATCAATTGAAAATATAATAAATTTCAATTATATGAAGCTCTTACCTCCGGTTATAACCACAATTTCTTAATCCCAATCAGTTTTATTTGTTTTCCACCCATTTCTACTTTTT